AAAAAAAATTGTATAATGAATCAACTATTTGGTCTCATTGCATTTGAAAATATAGATAGCGTATTTTTATTTCTATTGCATTAAATACAGTTAAATTGAGGTCTCATTCCATCTGTAATTCGACCAACTTTTAACATAAATATGACAAGAAAAAGAAAAGCTATATATACAGCATTAATTAATCAGCGACAATACAGCAGAACAGAACATAGATAAATCTGAAACATGTATAAAACAGAAAGTACATGGAGAACATAAAAGAGTCTGTCCTTTTATGTATAAAAAATATGTGGAATTTAACATTTAATTATTTATCCTCACATATGTGAGGAAAAACCTTTCAAGCAGTGGCGGCAGCTGCCTCCTCCGCCATCTGAGCCACCGGGAGGAGCGTGCAAATGAGGTTACGATCACCGTACACATTATCCACACGGCCTACGAGTACCAAAATACCGATAATTAGACACTAACAAAAAGTGGTTTTTAAATAAATATTATGAAACAGTAAGCGTGTGAATGTAAATCCAACGAGACTGTGTATGTGCTTGGTAAACATACAAATTAGTTTATATCTTATTTGATTAGCTTATAAGCTTTCTATATTCAAATAAGTTTGATTTGGTAGGATGAACTTTTTTGAAAAGAAAAAAAAAAACTCGAGTTTATCTCATAAGTTTCCCTGAGTAGCTAGCTTTTCAAATAAGCTCATTGGAATTTTATTTCAGCTTTTATCAAACATTTTTATCATATAAGCTAGCTTTCCAGTCATAAGCTATCAGCTATAAGCTCGAAAATCACTTATCAAATATAAACTAACTTATCAGCTAGGTTTACCAAGCATAGCACATATGTGTGTGTGTGTATATTATACGAATACGAACCTGTGGTCGGCCAGAATTTGGCAGTCTTGAGCCATGGTGCAGGGTAAGCAGCATACTCCCGTGAATACGGTTTTGTCCAGGCATCAGCCATAAGCAGTGATGGTGGATGAGGGGCTCCCTGAAATTACAGTGCAGTAATTCAACTTATTTCGAAAGGAAAATATATTGATCGGGAGTACAAAATAATAAAATATGTCATCATGTTTGGAGGAAAATGAAGAAGAAGAAAAAATAAAAGATTGAAGTGAAAATGCATATATATGATTTTTACATACCTTGAGAACATTGTTGTGCACATCAGCTTGTCCTTTCTCAATCAATGCAATTTCCTTTCTGATAGAGATGAGAGCATCACAAAACCTGTCTAACTCTGCCTGAATAGTAATAAAACAAAGCAATTTTTAGGTTCAAATATATTGTCAAAATATGTCTTAGTATCTTAACATGTAAATCATAAAATAGTAGTAATAACAGTGGATTCTTTCGTTTTATTTCTGTATTTACGTTTTGCCTTTATTTTTACCTTGTTTTCACTTTCAGTTGGTTCAATCATGAGTGTGCCGGGGACTGGCCACGACATAGTCGGACCATGAAATCCGTAATCCATGAGACGCTTAGCGACATCTTCAGGCTCGATGCCAGCAGTAGTCTACAACAATTGCCATTTGGCGTAAGTTCAAAAAGGAAAATGGAAAACTAAAATGAAAAAGAGAATCGGAAAATAAATGACAAGAAGCAAACCTTAAATCCTCGCAAGTCTATAATGAACTCATGGGCAACCGTTCCATTGACACCACGGAACAGAACAGGATAATACTTCTGTTAATCACAAAATCATAGTGTTTAATGTGACAAACTCTAAAAGAAAGAAAAGAGAAGGAAACAAAAAGAAAAAAAAAATAGATCAACCTCCAAACGCTTGGCCATATAGTTTGCATTCAAGATAGCAATCTTTGATGCATCGGTTAGTCCCTTTGAGCCCATCATGGCTATGTAAGTATAAGATATGGGCAAAATAAGGGCTGAGCCCCATGGGGCAGCTGAAATTGTACCAAGTGGCTGGGAGCTTTCGGGTGCTGGTATACCTCCAGTGGGTACCTGCAATAATAGCACCCAAAAAAAAAAGCATAGTCGACAGTTTTCTCAATTTTGTTGCCTGTTTGAAGCTAACAAAACTGAAATTCACCGAAAAAAGCTGCTAAATGTGTTCTTCTACGTACCACTGGATGTGATGGCAAAAATGGTGCAAGGTGTTTCTTCACCCCAATGGGCCCCATTCCGGGCCCACCTCCACCGTGAGGGATACAGAATGTTTTGTGGAGATTGAGATGGCAAACATCAGCACCGATATACCCAGGGCTCGTCAAACCAACCTGCAGGCACAAACAATTGATCTTTAGTAGCAAAAAGAAAAAATAAAAAGTACCCAATTTAGTGGAATACCAGTTAAACTGGGCAAACCTATTTATTTCATGAACAAGTTCTAAAAATCTAATAAAGATGATGATATGGGTAATCAATCATCCGTGTACATAATACACCTACGTCATATCATTTACATTGTGATTATAACACTCTTATGGCGTACCTGAGCATTCATGTTAGCTCCATCCATGTAAACTTGTCCACCGTTGTCATGAATTATCTTGCAGATCTCAT